TTGGATAATTGCGTATTTATTATCGAATTCATCCGAGAGCAGTTGCCACGCTGCTGTATAATTTTCATCGGTAATCTGGAAGTTACTAATTAATCGAGCGGCGTCACCGGTGACGCTGGTTTTTAGATAATGCAACTTTTGCGTATTCGTTAATACGTCGTTCGCGGCAATGAGAGATTCAAAAATTCCCCGGAAGTTCTCCCATTCGGTGAGTTTACCGGCGAACTTAGGAATGGCAATGCGAGGCAACTGAACCGGATGCGCAGCGCCAGCATCCCGATAGGAACTATCGGAGCTCCTCTCGGCCATTGAAATTTGCGTTTTACATAACTTGCCAATCGCCTCGCTCATCAGGTCCGCGGCTTCATCGTAGATGTCCTCGGCCCCAAAGTATTCCTCGGCGATGAAGTACTGCAGCGTCTTTTGCTCCTCGGGTGTGGCTGTCTGAATGATCCGCACATGGAGGGAGCGGCATGAGTCTCGAAGGTCGTCCAGACTTTGAAGTCGCCGTTTCACCGTCGGCAACGTGATGGTGGTCTTGGCCATCTTCTTGAAGTTTACAAGCGCCCGATGGATTGAAAGAATATTTTGAGTTTGCGCGATGAGCAGATTCGGGAGAGAGTCTGCCATGGTCGGCAGAAGTGATTCCACGCACGAACAGAAGATCACTCAGAGGGGCGTTGTCGGAGGTCAACCGCGATCTTCCCTCACGCAGAGTAGTGCGATGTGGAGGCCCCGGAGGCTCTGAGCCAGCGACGCTGTACTTGACACTCTAGCGCGTCGGAGTTGCAGCCGCGCGAGACGTCTCAAAACGTCGTCGCGGGCACCCGAAGGCGCGAATTGATTCCTTGAGAATCTCGGGATCGAAATTTCACACGCGGCGCCCTTGCCCGCACGCGCTTGGCTCGTGAGCGGCGGAGCTCAGAACGCGCGACGTACCAAGAAGAGCGGCGCCGGAGCGCGGTCCGCCACGCACGCGGAGATTGCACGGCGGCCGTCACTATTCACTTAAGAGTAGCCTCACTATAGCTGAGGCTGAGGGCACTGGCGCGAAGGCGATTTGCCCCGAGCGCGTTGTCCTTGTTACGGACGTTAAAGAGAGCGCGAACAACGACTTGGAGTTAGCGCGGAGTGCGAACGAACGCGCGCAGCGCGCGAGTTTCCCGCCGTTGAGGGGGTTGAACTTAGTTCGGATGCACTAAAGAGCGCGTAGGAGCGCGGAGTGCGTGCGAGTGCACGCAGCGTCCGATGAGCCGC